TGGCTTTATTTTATCAGGTATACTCATTTCTTGGTATGCCTCCTGGGTAATCCAAAGAAGACCTGACAAGTCACTTCTAGTCTTACCACCCTGTTCTGTTTTTTTTCTAGCACTTCTGTGTTTACAAGTATCTTGTTTTGTTACTTTTGTTTTTGTCCTGTTAGCACATGAACTTTATAGAAGGTATGATAGAAAAATATAGTTAATGTTTAAAATTTTAAAATATATTCAATTAGAGCTGGGTGTGCCTGTAATCTCAGCACTTGGGAGGCTGAGGCAGAAAGATCACCGTGAGTTCAAGGCCAGCCTGGGCTAAATAGGAATGAGAAGGAATGAGACCACTGGAGCAGGCTAGTAAAGGCAAAGTGGTACAGACTTTATTTCACCTGGGCAGAGGTGGACTGATGGCAAGCAAAGGGCCACCAGCCCTGAACAAAGAAAAGGCAGAAAGCTTTATAGGACATTAAAGGAGAGGCCTGGCACATCTATCACATATAGGAGTCAGAGCAAATACATACATATATATATATTTTTTGGTACTTGGGATTGAATTCAGGATCTTGCTTGCGCTTGCAAGGCAGGCATGGTGCCACTGAGCTAAATCCCCAGCCCTCAGAGCAAATATTTACGGTCAGGGTCCATGCAGCGATCAAGGCAGATGTATGGATATTTTCAGGTGACTTGGCATTGAAAAGATGCTGTACTTTGTAGTTGCTATCTCTGTGTTGGGAATATCCCATCCTGTGTTCTGTGTCTGAGATACATGGCTTTTTCGGGAGGAGATAGCACCTGCATTGGCTGCCTGTTTTGTTGTGGTTTTTTGGTATCTTGTCAAACAGTAGCTTGAAATTAAAGAGCATATTCATTAACCATTTCATTACCAGGTCAAGCCTGACAACATTGGCATTAACCCCCTTCAAAGTACTCCTTCTCACTTTGAATACACATCATTCTTGCCACTTTCTGAAGCAGTACTGGAATCCTTTTTGTGAAAATGTCTTTAGTTGTGCTATCATGGCTTCCTTGATATCCTAAATTAATTCCAAATGTTTACTTTTCACGGTCATTTTGACTTTGGGGAAGAACCAGAAGTCGCATCCTGCCAGATCTGGTGAACAAGGTGGATAAGGACACACAATCATTTTTCTACTTGACAGGAATTGCTGTAAATAGTAGATCAATATAGCATGATAAAAAATAGGGTGAATGTTTAAATTAAAAATTTTGTTACAGTAAAAGGTACATTGTCATTAATCTCCCTTAGAATAGCCAGTGTATCCCCCCTCTCTTCAAACACACTTACCTTGTTATTCTTGTTAATGTGTATTTTACTATAATAAGCTTTTTAAAATTTAAGTACCATTGTTTTTGATTACCCCTGTATGTCAGGGTCTGTGTATACCTTGTTTGTTTTTATGTTTTCAATACTTACTTAGGATGTGCCTAGCACAAAGCAAGCTCTCAAGTGTCTATTACAAGAGTGCTTGAGAGATCAAATGTGGTTGAGCAGTTTTATAAATATAGCTGTATTTGTTCTTTGTGAATTGTCTTTGCTCATTTGTCATTTGAAAGGTGTGCTTTAAATTTTTTTTTTTGGTGCCGGGGATTGAACTTGGGTCCTTGTGCTTGCGCAGCAGGTGGTGAAACCACTGAGCTAAATCCCCAGCACTGGTGTGCTTTTATTATATTTTTGTAAGAACTGTTGATAAAGAATTATTAATCAATTTTCTGACTTATGCTGTGTATATTTCCCCCAGTGTCTCATTAGCTATAGTTGTTTGTTTGTTTGGTACCGGGGATCGAACTCAGGACCTTGAGCTTGTGAGGCAGGTGTGATGCCACTGAGCTAAATCCCTGGCCCAGTTTATTTGTTTTTTTATTGTGCAGAGTACAGACATCTGAAGTGCCTGGCCTGGTATCCAGCTGTGCTTAGTACTTAGTAAATTTCAGCCATTGTCATCAGCCTTACCCATTCTCCATGGCTTCTTAGTCAAGGAACCCCTCAGGTGGGTGTTTTGTTTTGTTTTCTGAGACAGGGTCTTGCTGTGTTCAGGCTGGTCTTGAACTCACTATGTAGCCCAGGCTGGCCATGAATTCAGAATGATCCTCCTGCCTCAGCCTCCTGAATGCTGGGACTATGGGTGTGTGTCACCACATCCAGCTCTCAGGTGTTCTTTTTTAGTCTAGTTTTTGATCTAAGTAACAACCTGTTATCTAAATAATTGATAATTTGAATGAACTTTCTTTTTTGCTCTGTGTGTAAGGATTTTGGCTATTCTTCTTCAGCCCATTTTATATATATGTTTTTTTCCTCAAAGTATTTGTGGAGTTTTAAGATATCTTTCTTTACTGATTTAAAAAGCATTGTGATGAAATAGCATTATTTTGTACCATTTTAGTTATTTTAGATTTGTTGAGGTTGGTACTATGGCCCAGCATGAGGTTTTTTTTCTTTTTTGTTTTTGGTACTGGGGATTGAACTCAGGTCCTTGGACTTGTGAGGCAGGCGGCAGAACCATTGAGCTAAATCCCCGGGCCCTGGTAGTGCTTTTTGTAAATACTAGTTATGTTAAGTTGGATGACAGTATTGGTTACATCTTTATATCCTTTCTGATTTTTTTTTTTTTGGTTAGTTATTGTGAGAGGAGTTTGATCTTCAAGTTCCACTGTGGATTTGTCTATTTCCTTCCAGTTGTATCAGCTTTGCTGTGTGTGCTTTGAAGCTGAGGTGCTAGGTGCTTACTAGGTGCTAGGTGCTTACTAGGTGCTAGGTGCGTGTACATTTAAGATTGCTGGATCTTATTGGTGATTTAATCCTTTTATCATTGTGCAATGTCCTTTGATGAGTGTTTGCATCATATGTTCTTTTACTTTTAATATTTTAGTATTATATGCCATTGTATTTAAGTACTCCCTTTATGTAGTGGTTTCTTTACTACAGGGATATTTGGCAATGTCTAGAGACAATTTTCATCATCCCAACAAGGAGATGGTGCTGGTTACATCTAATGCATAAAGGCTAGGAATGCTGTTGAACATTCCATGTGCACAAAGTAGCCTTCCACAACAAAGATTTGTGTGGCCCAAAATGTTAATAGTGTTCTGCTGAGAAACCCCACTCTAAGGATTGCAATATACATAGCTAACTTTTCACTGTATACTTACTATTATCATTTATCACTTCATGTGAAATATAGAAGCACCTACTTTTCCTTATGTTACAGTTATCATTTGTATTCACATCTGCTTACATTGAAAACTTAATCACATGGGGTTACAATTTTTACTTTGAATAGTCATATGTATTTTTAAAGAACTTTCTATTGCTGTTCCATCATTCCTAATGTCTCAGGTTTCCTTCTGGTATTATTTTCTTCATCCTGAAACTTTCTTTAGCATTCTTCTAGGACATACTTGCTGACAACAAATTTTCTTATAATTTTCCTTCATCTGAAAATGTTTTACTGGATATAATATTCTGCATTGATACTTATTTTCCTTCAGCACTTTAAACATGTGGTTCCACTGTCCTAGGGCCTTCATTTTTCTTTAGGAAAAGCCCACAGGGATTTGCAAGGATGTCTCTTACTGTGTAACTGGCTGTGTTGGGTTGGAATATTTCTCTCCTTATGTGTAAATCAAGGGTTTCAGTACTCTGTCTCTTAGTTATATTTTAGTTGTGGACTCTGTTTGGTTCTATTTATCTTCTATATGGATTTTTGAGGATGTGAGGGGAGAGTTCAATTTAAGTGATTGCCATTGTGCTACAGCAACCCAAAAGTCTGCTTTAATTTTCATATTGAGGTGACATGAGAAGTCTGGCATGAGGAAGTGACCTAAGCTGACACTCGAGATGAGATGATACCTCCCACAAAAGCTTGATGTTGGGGCCGGGGATTTAGCTCAGTGATTTCACCGCCTGCTGCGCAAGTGCAAGGACCCAAGTTTGATCCCCGGTACCAAAAAAAAAAAAAAAAAAAGCTTGATGTAAAATTAAACAGCAGCTGGGTGTGGTGGCACTGGGTGTGGTGCACTGGGTGTGGTCTATAATTTCAACATTCTGGGAGGCTGAGGCAGGAGGATTACCACTTCATCCCTAGCCTGAATAATTTAGAGACTTAGTGAGACCATGCCTTAAAAAAAAAAGGCTGGAGCTGTAGCTTGGTGCAAAGGCCAATGATTCAGTCTCTAGTACCAGAACAAAAAAAAGGCAGTAGTTGTTGAATCACCGTTATAGCTTCTGACAAATTGATTGTTCTCAATAGATAAGTTTTTATTCTTAAAGGTGTAATTGAGGAAAGATAAGGTGACTGGATGGTGGGCTGCTGTTTCTTGGGATCAGAAAATGACTGATGGTTTAAAATATATGCTGGCTATTGAGATTTTTTTTTTCATTGCATAGAATGTTTCAGTAAAGACAATAGCAGAGACATAGTATCATTCCTTATATCTCTCAGTATATCAACTCTGACTATAAACCCAAGGATGGTGGACCTTTCAGTGTACAGACAACTATGTTTTGTTAAAAGTTGTTTCTAGAACTTTGGTGATTATAGCTTTGTAACAGAGTATTTGGGTATTACTTGGAGATAAAAATTTTTGGCTAGTGGTAAAGATGCTTATTTTTCCTATTACTGGATCAAATGTAGTGAGTGAAGGTTTGGCAGCCCTGGTAATGCTGTTGCCTGACTGTACATTGCAGAGTCCGTTCTAAGATTGTGTGTACAGCATGAATATTGTAGATTTTTTCAACTAATGCAGGCTTTCTTGCACTGCCTTTTTCTTACCTATTTGCCTTGACTAATTTTTTTTTTTGCAAAAGAGAGTAACGTCACTAGGCATTGTTATTTATAATGGTTTACTTCAGCTGAAGGCAGCTTAGTATAAGGAAAATACTGGGTAATTAGTAAAATTAGGCCAGATATTGCCCTAAATAAAACATATACTGTAACAGAAGACTGCTTAGCCTGGCTCAGCTGTCTGTTCTTACCTCTAACTAGGTACCAGCTGGAGGATGAGCCTGCTCATTTGGATGAAATGCCACTGATGATGTCTGAAGAAGGTTTTGAGAATGATGAAAGTGATTACCACACATTACCACGAGCTAGGATAACACGAAGGAAAAGAGGACTGGAGTGGTTTGTCTGTGGTGGATGGAAGTACTTCTGTATCAGGTGTGTCGTCCATTGTTAACCTGATTTTCTTGTGCATGAAGGTTATTTATAAGCATAGCTCCTGATATATTTATTGGATATATTGATGGATGAAGATATAAAAACTAAAGAAGACACTGTGGCATCATGGAATACTAAAATAACCTTAGTCAAAATCAAACAATGCTAGACTAAAAGGAAGAGAAAACCAAATTTATCATGAGACATTTCAATGGTTAAAAGCTGGAGGAAATTGATTTTATAATTAATGTATGGTATAATAAATTTTGGTCACTATATCGACGTATATAAATAGTATTCCTTTCTTATCCGAAAAGGTAGATATGCACCTATAACATGCAGTTTAATAGTACTATAATTACGTGAATTATTCAGCTTTAATGCTTTGGGAATAAGCTTATTCTGTTAATTTAACTAGCAATATACCAAGATAAAAACTCCTATTTAAAACAAGTTTCCTGGTGCTGAGATAAAACTGGTGTGATTTGCCTTTGACTAATATGTGGTAGGTGAAAGCATATTGTGCATCTCAGACACTGCCCCCTCCTTCCCTAGGAATATATTACAGCTGAGTAATGCTTTGTGATTTAAGCAGAGCCTATCAAATGAATTACAATGCTTATAGTCTTTCTGTTGTACAAGGTTTGTAATCAATACCTTTGTTGCTGGTATGAATTTATACCCCTGTATCCATAAAGAGAAAGTTAATACTTGTAGAGAAATATATTTTTCATCATCCTTTACATTATCCCTTTGGAAATTTGCAAAAGATGTTCCTGTAACTGATTTGATTGCTAGGACAGTTCATGAGTTGATATTCTAAGTGTATTGTGGGGAGTTGCAGGAATTGGGATTCAGAAATTGGCAACATAGAGAAAGGTGATGAAGGTTCATCATGTCTTGTTAGCTTTCAGAGTATAGCTATATATTATCTCTTTGTATATTGTAAGATTTCATATGAAGAAAGAATTTCATGCCTAATCAGTGTTTTAAAAATTGCTAATTGATGATATAATAATTGTCTGTTGTTTATTGAAAACATTTTCTAGGTTAAAAAGCCAGTATTCCAGTATACCTGGAGTGTTCTTTGTGGATACACATTTCATTACAGAGTTAATTTCTTGAACAGATTTAGAACTGCAGACTTTTTTTGTCTTGTGTTATGATAGTTTGTGGTTTTCAAGGGAACTGTTTTCAAATTTATATTGGCATGAAATTTTTCATAGTATTTTCCTGTGATATTGATATACAAGATCTGTATAAAGTCACCTTTTAAAATTTCTGATATCAGTATTTACATCTTTTAAAAAAATTACTATCAGTTTTATTCTTTTTGAAGAGTTAACAGCCTTTGTTCTTGTCCTCTTTTGTGTGCTGTCTTAATACTTTTAAATGTGTTGAAATAAAGTTAGGTTTATAGAAAAGTTACAAGAATAGTGTAGAAAATTCTTTTGTACCTTTGACTCTGATTTCCCAAATTTTAAATATTCTACCACATTCATTTTATCATTCTTTCTATATCTTTTTTTCTGACTCATTTCAGACTAGGTTACTTCATTTCTCTTTACATCTTAATTCTTTAGTATTTTTAAAGGTATTTTTAGTATTCTTAAAGGTATTTTTTTTTCTGGTACCGGGGATTGAACCATCCCTCAGGACCTTGCGCTTGTGAGGCAAGTACAGTGCCACTGAGCTAAATTGCTGGCCCTATTAAAGGTATTTTCTTAATGTAATCACAGTCCATTTGTCAAATTCATGAAATTTAACACTGATATAATACTTTGCATATACTTCAGATCCCTATTCAATGGGTGGTTATATGTTACATGTAAGTAGGATGCCTGTTTAGTTTCCTTTAATTGAGGCTAATTATTTAGTGTTCATCATTCATCCCTTGATGTTTTCAAAGAATACAGATCAGTTATTTTGTAGAATCCTTTATGTTTTGGTTTATCTGATGTGTTCTCATCATTAGATTCAGGTTAAATATTGTCTGTGGAACACTGTGTAAGTGATGCTGTGTCCTCAGAGTGTTTGCATTGTGTTTTACTGATTTCTGGTCTTTTATTTTTTTCTTTAATACTTTCTATGAGTTTAATTTGCTGTCCATTTTCAAGTTTCCCAAGGTGACTGCTCAAATCACCATTATTCTGCCTTTTTCTTTCTAAAAGTAGATGCATTTAAGTTTTGAAGACTATTTTCATTATCACTCAGTTCAAATATTTTCTAATTTTTATTGTCATTTTTTACTTTACTAGGTGTGCTGCCATCCAGGGTTTGTTGTTTCATTTATAGAGCACAGGCAAAGAAGATACAGCAAAATTCTTAAGGCCCTGGGATTTTTGGAAGGGCAGATGAATACTGGCTTCAGCTTAAGGTTATCTGTCCCATTAGCCCCTGTGAAGAGAGTTGGCCTACCCTTTGAAACTTTGAAGCCAGGTGTTAGCTTTTCCTCTCCTGTTGGGACAGTCTTAGGTGGCAGTATTGCATCCAGTGGTGGTCTAGGGTGGGGAGGGAGCTAGGAGTCCCCCCTAGTGACCCACCATTTCTCTTTGGGTCTTTGCCCTCACTCCAGCAAAGAATAAAGAAGCGGGACTCTTAGTGGAAAATGGCAGAGTCAAGACTGGTATAGTGCATGTGGCAAATGCAGAAGAAGCAGAAGAGCTATCTTAACAGCAGAGTGAGCTGTAAGATAGAGGGCATTCCATTCAGGATCCCCCAGTGAGTATGAGATGTGTGCATACTTATACAGGCAAACTGCAAACTGTTTTGCTGATTGGTGTAGGCTAGGCCAATCAAGGTCTTAGCCTTTGTTCCTAGGAAGGGGACAACATCAGCATACAGTAAATGTAACTTTCATAAAGGATACAGTAGGGTATATGTTTTTCAAGCACATAGTACATGATAACCATGTGATGATCACAGTTGTCAGCCACAGATAACCATTACATTCGTCGTCCACAGGTGATGATTTTACAATTTCAGTCATTTGTGTTTTGCCCTGGTTTTATTTTATTTTTATTTTTATTTTTTTTGGTACCAGGGATCGAACTTGGGACCTTGCGCTTACAAGGCAGGTGGTAGAACCACTGAGCTAAATCCCCAGCCCTGCCCTGGTTTTTTTATGTCCCTCTAATCTGCCCCTACAGCAGCATCTTCTTTCAGTTTAAGGCTGTTTAGTGCACATTTCAAATCTGCTCTTTGATGTCACTTTTGTCACCTCACCTGAACCTCTGTAACTTACTACAGTTTCTGTGACTTCATTTTGCAGCTGTGATGGTGTGTTATGGAGACAGCTTTCCTTACACCTCACGATCCAGCTTCTGCTAGGTTCACATTCTTTTTTGTTTGTTTGTTTTTGGATACTGGGAATCGAACTCAGGACCTTGTCTCAAGAGGCAAGCACGGTGCCACTGAGCTAAATCTCTGGCTCTAGGTTCAAATATTTCTGTTGTAGCTTCCTTACTTCTTTCAGCCTTTATAGTGAAGAGAGTTGGAGCCTGGCCTGGATTAAGTTTCCCTTAAAAGAGTATTAAGACTGGTTTAATTTTCAGTTTCCCTCCACTGAATCTTTCTCCATATCAGCAATAAGATTGTTTCACTTTTTTATCATTTGTATATTCGCTGGAATAGCACTCTCAATTTTCTTCAAGACTTTTTCCTTTGTGTTCACAACTTGGTACCCAGAAACCTTTAATTATTTTTAAAGATGTTCCTTATTTAAACCGATTTGTAGTTTTCTTTTAGAAATCTGTCTTATATCCAGAAACAAAACAACACAAAACACTGGCAGGGGGATTGGTCTAATACAATTTTCTTAGTTCAGGAAATGTAAGTTTGAGAGTCTTTATTATTTTGGTGATGTTGGAAGCCTTATGAAGGATGATGTTCCTGAAAATGTATATGCGATACAGATCTATGAAGAATAAAGGAAGGACAGGTAAAAAGCTGGAGGGGAGGAAGAGTGAAATAGTGATGGAAAAGATGACTTTTATCTTGTTCTTGACTGGGAATATGGATCATTTGAGCCAGGAGTTGATTAGGCTACAGATGTGTACTGAAGAAATGGGAAAATTTGGTCATACTTTGGTAGAGATTATCAATAATCAGCAAAGGAAAAACGAGTAGTCATGAAGTTGCATTGAATTTGGCATAATTTTATTGCTATTTGTCCATTGTGGCTGCTTCAGCCTGCGCCCTTACAGCACTGGTTGTGAAAATGTGGAGTGAGGAACTGTGGTTGTCTTGGACCCCGCATCATTATGAATTGATGAAATTGGTTAGCAGTGGCTTACTGCCAGTTAGATTGCTCTGGGATGTAGCTTGGGGGCAAGGATTCTCTACAAGTATTGGGGATGAAGGTAGTGCTTTTCCTCCCAGATCTGTATGGCACTGTCTTCAAAAAGGCAAATGTTGTCACTAATATTTATAGCTAAGAACTGGAATTATCCCTCTTAGAACAGGTAAGGGCTAGGCTGTCTCTTCTGTGCTCCCTGGGAGAAATGCCAGGACAAGCAGGTATGGACAGAAGGAGTAGTCTTTGAAGTGCAGTAGACAATGCTTGTTAAATACCTGGTCTCAAACCTTCCAAGAGGGAAATCATTATGAAGACCACTGTCTTGAGAATGCTGAGATACATGACCAGTGTGTTAGGTAGTCTTCTAGTGTGTGTGGAAATTCCCCGGGTAGTGGAGATGTAAAAGAGTTGCTGAAATTAAGTATGTGATAATCAGGTACTGATGGGCATAAAACCATACAACTTGGAACATTTCTGTGTTTATGGTATGGACTTTAAAAGGGGATCGTATGTTTTGGAAGTGGTACTTATTTGACCATGTTCATTAACAGTATCATACCAGTACTGTTCTAGTCAGCAGGTTACCAAGGATTATGGACTTTAAAGCTCTCAGTCTCATCATAGTGTTAAATATATTATTCAACTAATTTTTTTTTTATTTTTACCAAATGGACTACGACAGCCAAATTTTAGATTTTTCTTGTAATACACTTTTTCTTATGGAAAACATTAAGGATATATTTGAAAATGTAGATGTTGGCAGCAAAAATACTCATTTGGCGAACATTGAAACAGTTCAATAAAATATGCTAGATGTGTCCAAAAAGTCTTTATCTTAATAAATCATGATCCTGTGGGAAAAGCTATCTGAACCATCTTGGCCAGTTCTATAGTTCTAGTCAGTCGATATGGCACTAGAGTATTGTATTGTTATGTGCAATGGGAAGTAACCTGAGATATTGTCACATTTTTGTTCTCTAGGTGTTTTCTACAGTGAGAAATTATTACGGAAATTAGAAACTTGTGCCATAGAGAGCCAGTTCTACATTTAGGAAATAGCTTAGTCTTATTTCTTTATTAGAAATTTTTGGTTTTGAATGTTTGCCACCTTAATTCCAAAATGCCATTATAATATTCAGTGTTATTAAAATTATTAGATGATGGTTCAAAGAGAAGATATAAAAAGTAGTTTAATTGCAGGAAGATAATCTTAGTGAATATTGAAGTTCAAATGAAATTGTAACTAATATTAATGAGTTGGAAATATGACAACATATTTCTGTTTGTAGATCTTGTGAGTCATCAGACTTTGAAATTATTCTTAACTTTAAGGACTGAGTTGGCTTTGATTTCTTCATGGCTTAAGATCTGCTTTCTCCTTTTTATTATTTGGCAAAAATTCCAATTTGAACATTTAGAAAAACTTTTTTTAAATCTATCTTAAAACTTTTGAGTTTCAAACAGTGAATGTGCCTTCCTGTAAGTATGTAATTGTGAGGCACATTGATACACGTAGCTCTCTGATCTGGGTTGATGGTCTTTCTCATGAGATTTATATTTCACTTGTTATTAAAAATCACTTTGTCTCTTGGAAAGTGGAGCCTGGAATGGCATTTCCATATGAAGGCAAGGGGGTGGGGTAGGGGAGATATCAAATGCTGGGATTATTCCTCCTTCTAAATGACCTCTGCACTTTCTATTAATCTTTAAAACATTTTGGATGCAGAAGCATGGAAAAATGCTCATCTTTTAAGAAGACATGAGTAATGCATTGTTTTTGTCATGATAACCAAAGGTACCTTTTAGATATAATTATCTATGATTTGGGGGTGGGGTAGGGGAAGGAGGCTAAATTTTAGGAGTTATGTAATTATGGTTAAAATTTTAGAAGACAGTCTTGATATATAATCATTTAATATTAGAGTGTTATTTTGACTATGAAGGATTTTTGTGAAAAGCTACTAATCGTAAAACATTTTAAGAAAAAAAAGTATAATTTGTGTGCTAATTGATTTACTTACAATTGATCTTGACAGTTTTTCTGAATAATCAATAATTTAGAAAGTAGCATATATAGAAATGGTATTAAGGAAAGTTTCTTTCAAGGACTTCTCTTTGGTTCTCCCTCTTGTTTTTCAATATTTTCTAATATGTTTGTCTCACATTACTTTGTAAACTCCCTGTAATTTCATTTCCCTTAGCTCAATAAGGCTTACGTATTCTTTCTTCTGTTATTGTATGGTCTTAAATCTTTGAGGTTTGTACCCTTTACTCTTACCATTGAAATCACCTGTCTTCTTCTGATAATGTTTTCCATCTACCTAATCTAGTGGCAGTTCCAGGGCATTTCAAACCTCAACCTCATGGTGAATGTACTGTATTCATTCAGTTTTGTGATATAGCATGTGACTTGATAGTGGCTCCCAAACCAGTTTGATTTTTGTCTGAAAGTAATGAAATAATTGGTAATGATACTTTATTCTTTAAAAGGTGGGATTAGTAACAAAGTGGTATGAATAGCTTAATTATGTCTTAGAAGTCTAGGAATCTTAGATTTATCTATACAGGGCTATAAGGAAATAAAATGTTGACAGTTTTTAGTGACTGGTGCTTGGTATTTATAGGGTGAGACTGAGGTCAACAAGGGAGGCACTAGATCCTGTAGTTGATGACAGAGATGTTAATGTTAAGTTTATTTTTTTTTTGAGACAGAGTCTTGCTATGTAGTTGAGGCTGGCCTTGAATTCACTGTGTAGCTCAGGCTGGCCTCAAGTTCATGGCAGTCCTCTTGCCTCAGTCTCCTGAGTGCTGGGATTACAGGCCATGATGTTACAGTTTCTGTTCTAATTGGTGTTTATAGCACTTAAGTTATGCAGACATTGTGTTTTTGCATGTATAGTGTCTTGTCTGTAGAAAAATATGTTGCTATCAGATCAACGCTGCGAAGTTCACATTTCCTAAGTTTTATGTTTTTTAAATGCTCAGCTTTGTATATTCTCTATTGACTCATGTATATTTAAATGTCAAATTAGATAGTTATGTGTTACAAAACAAAAATTCATATCTGAATGCATTCCAGAGGAATTTTTGCTGTATTTGAATTGCTGAAAAGAAGTGTGTACCTGTGTAGCCCATGTTCCACCTGCTCTTAGTGTGTTTTGTGTATAATGGTGTTGAGTAGCCTTCATTATTATGATGGGCATATTTTAGATCTGTGATGTCCAGTGGTGGCTGTTGAGCCCTTGAAATGTGGCTAGTATGACTGAGGAATTTTTTAGCCAGTGGATGCTGTAGTGGACAGTGGATGCTGTAGTGGACAGTGCAGGTCTGCATTCTCTTTGTGTTCAAGGATTGTGAGTTTTGGGATGGGGTGTTGGGAGGCTAGGTAATAGTGATATAGGAGAAATATAACTCTCAACCTGCTAGATGTCGGATGTGCTGAGTTCATGTCTAGGAATGAATTCCAAAGGACAAAGAAAGTTAAGAGAAGGAAAAGTTTATTGGGGAATAGGAATAGCTTCTGAGAGATGAGAGGGGTCCTAGAAGTGGGTTGCCACCAAGTCCCTTTGTCAGGAGTAAATTATATAGCAAAGTCACAAATGTGGGTACAGGGTGGGTCAAACTATAATCAACCAGTAAGATTACAAGTACAGTTGTTTAGCTAACATTGACCCAGTAGGGAAGCAGCGAACGCAGCAAGGGGATATGGCTGACCTTATGGTTTATTTTTGATTTCTAAAACTGGAAAGTTCTGGGGAAGAGATGGACTTGAGTGTTCTGGTCACCCACCCAGGTGTCTGATGTATATCTGGATTTAATGGACCGAGTGGTCAAGTGTGGCCATTGTGACTTTAATCTCCAGGCCTCACTTTCTTCAGATGTACCTCCAGCCACAGTTCTGATGTCGCCATCTTTGACTGACTTCCTTGATTTTTTTATCTCACTTAGCTGCCTATAATAATAGCAGAATTCACCAGAAGAGGAACGAAACAGTTAAAGAACTTCCCCAGGGTCACTTCCTGGTAGTAGTCTCCAAAATGACTTTAAAGTCCATGTTCTTTTTCCATGCGTTTTCTTGCTTTCTTATAATTGCCTTTTTATTAGTGATTAATTTGTTTTCATCAAAGGCAGTCTACAAATATAAGTGTTTCGTCTAATTATTGTTTGTACTGACCATATAGATGTGAGGCTATAGAATCCACATTCTGCTTTCAGCTCTGCCATAAACTAGTTGTTGAGGCTTAGAGAAGTCACTTACCTCTCTGGCTTTAAGCTTTCTTACACTGTAAAATGTGGGAATTTGGTGTTTGTCTAGCATAGCTACAGGTTGCTAGTCTGAAGTTTAGGAAGGAATCCACCCATAGCCTGGGTTATATAACTGTAGAATATTCATAACACTGGGAACCCCTTTAACTGGATAAATGATCAACAATTTAGAGCTACTAAGACCTAGGCAGGGATTGTCCTTGAGCATTCAGCCCCTGGGAGTGGGTACTGAGAGGAGTGCACAGAATAGTTACAGTCTACTTAGAGATAGTAAGATAAGGTGGAACAGGAGGCTAAGGATCCTTGTGAGGGGATCAGGACACAGTAAAAACAACAGTAAGGGGAAAAGAATCATTGGAAACTTTCTGTGTTTTACTTGAAGCCTTTTTTAAGAGCAAATATCAAAATTTTATTGAAATGTATTTAATTCATCTCCTTTTCTCCCCCACCAAAAACAGTGATGAAGAAGGAAATACTTATTTTAAAAATCTTAAATCACTTTAATAATACCCTAACTATAACTATTGGGATCTTGAAAAGACTCAGTTTGGAGATGTTTAGACTTGTTGTATAAGAAGTGATGAGAGATAATTCTAAGTGATTTCTGTTTTAGCACTTTGTCTGCTTTCCTAGAAGTGAGGGGCAATTTTGGGGGTAAAGGTGACCTGCTTGCCTCTTCCGATTCCTTGGCTTAGCAACAGCTATGTCAAAGGAAAGTTTCTCAAGGCAGTAGTACAGGCACTCCTGCAGAAATGTGTGCCCACGGTGTGAGAAACAGGCTTCCAAAGAGCCAACCTCTGCCTTTCTAAAGATATATATTTTTTTTAGCAAGGCTGAAAATCAGGTGGATATTTTTCATAGAATGCTGCATGGGACACTTATAAAGCAAATATGTGTAAGTTTTAAATGTTTTTGAAAGAGATTTCTAAACATGATCAGAGCAAAGGGATAGTGCAGTGATTCTGAGATATGTTAAAGTATGTCAACCTTGTATAATGCCTCCTATACTTTGATTTTCATAGAAAATTTGTCTTTAGCTTTTAAACTTTCTTTGTCATGAAAGTGAGGTTAAGAAATTTTTACTTATTAATTAGATCCCCATGTGACTTCCTCATATAAACTATTCTGGGGCTGGGGATTTATTTAGCTCAGTGGTTCCACTGCCTGCCTCACAAGCGCAAGGCCCCTAGTTCAATCCCTGATACCAAAAAAGAATAACTTTTTTCATTTGACAATCTGCATTGGCTTTAAATATGTAGACTCACGCTTTAAAAAAAAATACACAACATCTGTTTTTTGTTTCTTGCAGTTGCTGCGATTGGCTGATAAATATTTGTCAAAGAAAGAAAGAACTGAAAGCGCGCACAGTGTGGCTTGGATGTCCTGAGAAGTGTGAAGAGAAACATCCCAGGAATTCAATCAAAAATCAAAAATACAACATATTTACCTTTATACCTGGGGTAAGACCATTCATTCTTGGAGGCCAGTTTTAGGACAGAGCTTGTTAACTTCTTCATCTTTTGAAGGTGCCTGTGGAGACTCTAGCTTGATTATTTCACTGTGTAGGATCCAAGTCAGCATCCTCTTTGCTTTTGTGGTTTCCTCTTTCAAATGATTGCTAAATAATTCATTTGCATTTTTAATGGCTGCATCAACTCCAGAAAATTTACAATTTGATTATTGCCTTCAGTTTTTGATAAACATATTTATATTGTAGAAATATAATAGTATAGACATAATGAAGACATGCTAAATGAAATGATCAGGAAATAAGTAATAAATTTTGATGGGCTGGGAATATGTTTGGAAGAAAAAGTGGAATGCAGTGTTGAAAGCCTGGCAATTTTACTTTCACAAAGAAAGTAAAAAATATTTTATGAATATGTTATAGATGTCTTTGTTACTTCACATAAATCTCAGGCCTTGTAATAGCATTAAATCATTAGTAATCTTTTAATTAGGTAAAATGCTGAAATATTTTAATTTAAATGCTGAAATATTTTATTACTTTGTTGTTAGTGTTTCTGGATTAAATTATAAAATGAATTTAGTGGAATAATTTTTACTTTTCATATGTGATTTCTTATTTTTTTTTTTTTTTGGTACTGGGGATCGAACTCTGGTCCTCGTACTTGTGCAGCAGGCACCAAAACCACTGAGCTAAATCCCTGGCCCCCCCTATTTTTTTTTTGTATATCCTTTTATTGGTACATTTTAGGTGTACAATATAATAACATTCATCATTGGAGATGTGTACCTTTACATACTCTCTTGGTTCTTATTTTTTCCCCCTTCCCCTGCCCTCCCTTCAACCCCTCCATCCCTCCCTATTTACAAAGACTTTGTTTCCTTTTTTTCATTTTCTCATTAATTCCATTCCCTTCTTTCCTTTCCCCTACCCCTCCCACTTGATTTATGTATCTTTATGAAGACAGAGGAAGCTGGTACTGATTATATTTCTTTCCTTTTTTTAATTTATAGGATTTAATTTTTTTGTAATCCTTTATTTTTGTAAGTTAGACCAACATGATTCAGCTGTTGAGGAAAAAAGTTCAGTTGTCACATATCTGATTATTTTTCTGTCAAAGTTTCTGACATGTTCTGGCTATTGGCTGTTACTCTGTTTTGCCAGAAAAGCTCTTTATTATGTGGAATGAAAATTGCTTTATTAATTTGGTTTTTTTGCATGCAGGGCCTCATGTATGTTATGCAAGAGTTGTACCACAGAACTACACCCACAGCTCTATTTTATATATTTGTATTTAAATAATCATATATTGGACATTGATTATTCACCCCTCCCCAATTCTCATTCATTCACTGGTTGCCAAGTGCTTCATATCCGATGTACTTCTTTATGAAAACACACGAAACTAATGGTAGACAGTAAAGTATTGGTTACTGTAGTTTTAAAATAGTGCACTTTAACTTTAATCAGTATAAATTCACACAGGCTTCCCAGATTGGCTGTATCCTAAGAATAACTGTTGATAGATGTGTACAATGGTTACCGTGTGAATGATTTTTTTCTTAGATTCTTTCTGAAATTAGTCTTTTCATCTAAAATGTATTTTAGAAACACTTGGTAATTGCACAGTAGGAATTCTATGCCATTTTTAGCACAAATGGCAATCTCTGAATTGCTAATAGATATAATTTATAATGAGATTTTAAAGAAACTGCTGGGGAAAAGAGAGCTTTCTTTCCTGCTGTGATTAATTTATGAAATAATTCAAAACCATTTTAGACAGCAATTGAACATGATTATAAATATAAAAGTATTACCAGTGTAACTGATTTTTTTTGGTCACAAATACAACTGTGTGATGATGCAGATAACTTCATTTTATACTAATAGTAGTTCCAAGCTCTTTAAGCCAACAGTAAGTCCTTAACCCGTTGCTCTGCTCTTGGAGTTGCTGTGCCTTCCACCTTGCATAAGAAATGGCATTCAGGGAGATTTTGTTTTGCAAGTGGCAGATTTGCAAGTGTGATTGTAATAGTAATGTACTATTTGAATTATTCTCATCTATAAACATAAGGTTTGTTCTAATTTTTAATTTAAATTAATAATTTGAGGTATTGTAAATAGAGGTCTATTAATATGCCAGATTTTGAGTGTTTATTCTTAATGATAATTCTACTTCAATTTAAAAATATAAAAACATTCCATCTTTCCCATTCCTAAAATTTTCTTGAGTGATAGAATTTATTTTATATTTGAAAGTAGTTTTAAATGTCAACTACTGAAGGGCTACACAGAATAGTATGTAGGTTGCTGTCTTCTTGAAAATTGGTCTCTTAGTTACATATTTTCATATATTAATCATTTTTTTGTGTTTTGAGGGAAACAAATACAGGAGTTAATCTCATAGTTACACTTGGGCATGTTTGGCTTGTTCAGTCAATTTTTGTAAAGCCAAGATGTTTATGGTAAGAAGCATGGCTATCTCTATTTTTATTTTTATTTTTTTTTTGGTACTGGGAATTGAACTCAGGACCTTGTGTTTTTGAGGCAGATGGCCGAACCACTGAGCTAAATCCCTGGCCCAAAGCATGGCTATCTTATTTAATTTTTACCATTTTATAAAATAAGATTAATATAACTTTTCTGTTATAAGAGTTTCTGAGTTGGCATCAAGATACACATTTGTATATTCATAGACTTGCTAACACTGGGAAGGTCATACTATCATTTGCTTAATGTGCACATAAAAATTTATCGGTGGTAGAGACTAAAAATTTAATACACGGAAAAAAGCTCTCTTAGGGAAGGATACTTTGATTGTAGTAGAAAGGCCTTATAGTCTTTTTAAAATTTTTTCGTTCATCTAAAAAAAAATTTCTTGATATGTGGGATAGCCTTGGAAAGCCAGTGTCAAAATTTATAAGTTACCATGAATCAGATCTTCACTGTTCGAAGAAAATGTCATGATAGATTTTGCTAAATATAATTATTTACTTGAGATATGAAAATCTTTATTTGAAGGAATTCTGTTAATTTTCTCTTTTCCTTTTTAGGTTTTGTATGAACAATTCAAGTTTTTCTTGAATCTCTATTTTCTGGTAGTATCCTGTTCACAGTTTGTACCTGCGTTGAAAATAGGCTACCTCTACACCTACTGGGCTCCTCTGGTAAAAGAAAAGACTTAAAATTAAGCTAAATTATTCATTATTTAGAATATAGTTATAAGAGTTGAGACAGTTAATAGATACAGTAAATTGACCAGATTTTTAAACATGATGTTGTCACTGTATATCATTGAACTTTTAAAAAAAGATTTCACTAAGTTCTATGACTTAATCCTTTTGAGCTCTGTAGGCAGTGTAAAGCACTATACTGCTTGAGAGCTGCTGGCAACTGTAGGTCCCCTCCGCTGGAGAAGTTATAAAGTGTCCTATTCAGAGCATTTAGTTAGCACTTTGTCTTAAGGATTGCAGGTCTGTCTGCCTGTCTCCCTTCTAAGCTATGGAACTGGGAGTTGTGGCTTCTGTTTAGTTACTCTCTTGACACTCCCATCAGTGGTGAAAGTTCTAAAGTATTTGACTGCAATACAGATAATTTCTGGTTGGTAATTCAGTATAAAGTTTTTGAAAGGCCAATAATGTTTATCATTTTCATTTTAAACATGTTTTGTCTTAGTTTTATGCTGTTTGTTGGTAGTTTTAAGTTTCTAGCTTGCATAGACAATAGAAAAATGTACTGCTTCCTTTTTAGTTGTTCTTTTTTGGATAGATGACCAGAGGAGTCCTGGCAAAGCATACAATGGGTGAAATGATTCCCTCTGTGGAAGAGGAGTACAGTGGGCAGCGCCGCGTGGGGGACTCCCCCACCATGTGTAGCCTTCAGAATTGGATGGTCTGCTTTTGAGCTAATCTGTGCTGGCTTGTGCAAGTCCCTCCCCCAACTAGAAATTCTTCACTAGTAAAGCGGTAGAGGGACAGAACCCTTGATGCAGCATAGGCCAGTAGATTTGTCAAAAGCATTTTCTGCATCTGTTGATATGATCATGTGTTTTTTGTCTTCTGTTTGTGCAGTGTATTAGATTTATTGATTTGGGTATGTCAGACCGTTCTTGCAACCCTGGGATGAAACTTATTTGATCATGATGTCTGATCTTTTGATGATGTGTTACATTCTTTTTACAAATATCTTACTGAGGATTTTTGCATCTATGTTTATTGAGGAGGTTGGCCCGTAGTTTTCTTTTTTAGTTGGTTCTTTGTGTGGTTTTGGGATCAGAGTGATGCTGGCTTCTAGAAATGATTTTGGAAGTGTTGGTGATATAACATCTTTAAAGGTTTTGTAGAATTTAGCAGTGAATCCATCAGGTCCTGGGCTTTTCTTAGTTTGTAAGTTTTTTGCTCCTGCATCAGTTTCACTGGTTATTATTAGATTATTCAAAATTTTTATGCTTTCTTGGTTTAATGGTAATAATTCATATGCATCTAGGAATCTGTCCATTTCTTCAAGATTTTTCATAATAGTATCCGTTGTGATTTTGCCTTTTTCATTTCTAATTGCATCGATATGAATCTTTTCTTTCTTTGGTAAGTTTTGCTAAAGGTGTATTGTGTTTATTTGTTGGTTCTTTGTATTTTTTTTTTTTTAGTCTCAATTCCATTAATTTTCACTGATCTATGATTTCCCTGCTTAATTTTGTTTTGGGCTTGAATTGTTTTTTTTTCAAGTATCTTGAGTTTCTTCATTAGGTTATTTGAGCTCTTTCTGTTTTTCTGATGTAAGCATTGATTGCAGTAATTTTGGTGTGTTGTACTGGGATTGTCTTTTGCTTCTAGAAGTTGTTTTTTTTTTTTTTGGTACCGGGGATTGAACTCAGGCCTTGCACTTGTGAGGCAGACGGCAGAACCACTGAGCTAAATCCCTGGTCCCAGAAATTGTTTAATTTCTCCCATGACCCATAGGGTGTTTCAGAGTGTGTTAGTAAGTTTCTAGGTGTTTCTAAATTTTCTGTGGTTTCCTTTGTGATTGATTTCTAGTTTCATTGTACTATGGTCTGACTGTAAACATTGGGTGATTTTTTTTTTTTTTTGGTACCTGGGATCGAACTTGGGTCCTTGCACTTGGGCAGCAGGCGGCAAAACCACTGAGCTAAATCTCCGGCCTGATTTTTATTTTTTTAAATTTGTTCAAGCAGGGTTTGTGGACTACAGCATATGTTTTATTTTAGAGAAAGTTCCTTGTACTGCTGAGAAGAATGTAGGGCATTCTTCTCTTGTAGGGCAGAAAACTCTGTAAATAACTATTAAGTCCTATGTTCAAGGGTTTGGTTCAGCTCTGATATTTCTTTATTGATTTTTCTCTTTAGTTGATCTCTTTGCATAAGTGGGGTATTAAGGTGCCCTGCTATGAATATATTAGTGTTTATTTGGTCTTTTATGTCCACCCCTATTTGTTTTATGAAGATATGTGTTACAGTATTTGGTGGATTATTCACTTACCTAGTATTTAGTGACCTGCTTTGTTTCTTCTGATGTTTTAGCTTGAAGTTTACTTTGAGAATAAAATTGCTACCCCTGTTTGTTTTTGGGGTCCTGGTGCATGAAATATTGTTTTTGTTCTTAGATTTTTATTCTATGATTATCTTTCTGGATTGGATGAGTTTCTTGAATGCAACAAACTGTTGGATTGTTTTTGGTTTTTTGGTACCAGGGATCGAACTCAGGACCTTGCGCTTGGGAGGCAGGCGGTGGAACCGCTGAGCTAAATCCCTGGCCCTGTTGGATTGTTTTTTGATCCAGTCTGCCAATCTGTGTCTTTTAATTGGAGAGTTGAGGTCATTCACATTGAAAGTTTTTACTGAAAGGTATTAATTCCTATCATTGTGCTCTTTCTCTGTTGATGACTTCTTTGTTTTTCTTTTCTTTTTGGGGGCTTATCTATTTGCCTTGCTTGATATATTCATGTTATCTGGATTTATGGCTTTGTTGGCTTCATCCTTGCTGTCCAGGACAGTGATGATGAACCTTTTAGAACTTTCAATGTTACAGACAGCCCACTGCAGCACACGTGTCACAGGTTCACCACCACTGGTCTAGGATATTCTTTTTTTGTGTGTGCCAGGGATCAAACTTGGGGCCTTGTGCTTGCAAGGCAGGTGCCAGGCTGCACCACTGAGCTAAATCCCTGGCTAGGATATAAGTGTTTTTTGGAGTGCTGGTTTGGTATGTATAAATTTCTTGAGTTTTTCTTTTTTCTGGAATGTATTATTTTTCAAAGAAAGTTTTGCTAGCTATGTTAATCTAGATTGGAAGTTATTTCCTTTTAGGGCATGAAATACTTGATTTCAGTCTCTTCTGGCCTTTAAGGTTTGTATTGAAATGTCTACTGTAATTCTATTGGATTTATCTTTATATGTGGTTTCTTTTGCTTTTCTCTGACAACCATTGAAATTCTGTTCTTTTGTTGGACATCTGCCATTTTAATTATATTGTGGTACAGGGAGTTTCTTTTTTTCTTCATACCTGGTGTTCTGTAAGCCTTCCTTACTTGTATGTTGCATTCTTTCCTCTTACTTGGGAAGTTTTCTATTATGATTTCTGTGAGCAAATTCATTATTCCTTGTGTGCTATCTTCTAATTTCTCTCTAACTCCGGTTAGCTTTAGGTTGGTCTTATTAGTGTTGTCTAGTAGCTGTTGAATTTTTTTGTTCTCTTACCATGTTTAAGGCTTCTCTCAGTAATTCATTGCAATTTACCATTTTGTCCTTGATTTCAGAAACCCTGTCTAAACATTGGTCATTTCTACAATTTATGAATTTTATATACTTTTTTTGTACCTAGTATTTTTGTCTCATACCTTTTTGAGGTCTCTATATCCTAGGTGAATTTGTCATTCATGTTTTGGACCATTTTGTTCAGCTCTTCCAAGTTTTTGTTTCTCGCATATCTACATTGATCATTTTGTATGATAATTCCATGAGCTTTTGGGTTATGTCATCTTTGAACTTTCCAGGTTTCTTTACCTCTTCTTTCATCATTTCACAAAGCTCCACTATTGGTGTTTGCTTTCTTGTCTATCTGTGCTCCCTAGTTCTGCCTTGGGAGAGTTGGGAGACTGTGGGGGCCTCTTGTTGCTTTTTTCGCCCATGTTCTTGTGTGTATGTGTATATATGATATATGTAAGTATATCTTTATATTCTTTTTGTGCTGAGTGTTGAGGTCCAGTAGAGTGAGGAGAGACTGTAGTTAATATGATCTTTTTAGTTGGCTTCTTCCTTCCATCAGTATGTTACAACTTTGTTGTTCACAGGTACTGTTCACCTCTTATGCTATTAAAATGGTTTGGAACCCATTATGTTATGGGAGAAGAGAATTATTGTTGGTTATAATAGGGAACAGATCTGGTAGAACCTCATGTATATGAGTTAACATGTTACTGCTGGCATGAACCACTGGTGCTACATGCATGACTGTCCCATCTGGCAACTTGAACCACTGGTGGTTAGCTATTTAACATCAGACAATAGAATTCAAATCAGAGCCACCTGGCAGCGAGACATGAATTATGATTTTGTTGTGAACATGTTAAACCTTTATAATTTCTTCCTTTACCAATAACCTTTCCAACATCTGCTGTTTTGTTATTTAGAGGTTAGTCTACCATGTGGAAGAAGGGAGGGCAAAGATGGAGGATGAGTGAAAGAGGAGTGTAAGTAAGATGAGCTGTAGATAGTAGTAATAATAGTAGGTAACAAAAAGAGATTTGGGGTCAGTCTGTTAGAGGTCTTTTATTTTGGAGTGAAGGATTAATATTGATGGTTTTAAGAAGATATTTGTGAATACAGGGTGGGGATGTAGGAGGAAAGTGTAAATAGGGATTTAGGGATGCTGCAAGGCTGTCAGAATCTGTTGATTTATTTGTGCACATACAAGATGGGGAAGAGGCAAGGGAGAACAAGGAACCAGGAAAGATGAAGAGGAACAAAAGGAACAGAATGCAGATATTCCTTGATAAGGACCTACCTGTTTGATGACTGTTCAGACTTACAACTGAGGAGTGCTCTTCAGACTTAAGACCCACCACTTGGATTTATGACCTCTCTTTATTTTTGTACAGTTTTGTACATCTTGCTTATAGAGCCTCATTGTCTTTATTGGTACAGCATACCTTGTTTGTACAGTACTATAATTTTTGCTGATTGTACTGTATAGTAGTGCAGTTTTTTGTTCTCATTACCATACTGCATGTAAGCGTTATGCCAGTAAAAACAAAGTCATCAAGTTGGCATTTCCTTTGACCATTTATTTGTTCTGAATATTATAATATACATACTATATACAGTTCCTCATTTAGTGACCAATTAATGTAATAACCTAGCTGCAGAAACAGAATGTGGTTCTAAATGAAGACTGTCTATAAATAGAAGGTTTACAAAAGGTTGATATGAGATAAGATGGGAATGTCTGAGGAAGAGTGAAATTTAGGAAAAAAAACTTGAAAGGAAGCATTTGAAAAGAGGAAGAAATAAGTAAATACTATTGCACAGATGCTAGAGTTAAAGAAAAGGAATAGGGAGTTAAGTCCTCACATTGGTTCATTCTGCTGCGTAAACTTTCTATGGAGTTTTTAATCTCCTGGAAATCTGTTTGTATCTCTTTAATGGATTCCTTTCATGTACCTCAGCTCCTCTATTTTTTATCTGTGTTCTCTCTAGATTTATTAATCATGTCTTGCAGTATGGGCACAATCTCTGCTGTTGACTGTGAAATTATTTCTGATTTCATTTTTTCCAGATCCTCTTTTGTTGCCAGTTCAGGGAGTCCAGGTGGTTGAGTATCAGATTGTTCCATCTTGTTTCCCTTTGGGGTTGCAGGTGATCTGAGAGTCTGGTTTTGAGACTTGTTTCTGTGTCTTCTCATTTCAACAGGGTAGGGTGTGTGTGTGCGGCTGGTGCTAACCTCCTTGGCACTGGGGGTGGTGATACAGTGGCCAGGAAGGCTCCTCCTCAGTTCTGGGGGCGGCTCTGCTCCTCAGTCCTGGGAGCGGTCAAGATTGCTTTATTTAATCATGGAGAGATTGACTTGAAGAATATTCTTGCAGCATGTCAGGAAATATGTATGTATCCTTTAAAAGAGCCATGATGCAACAGGTTTCAAATAGGTTACAAATATGTAGAAGTTTTAATTTGGTAGCACCTAATTCATCTCTTCAGATTTTTACTTCAAAAGCAAAGATGAAAGTGCACTATACTCTCCAGTGCAGTTGTTTGTAGAATGTATTATGTAAGAAAATTAATCACTGTGAACATCATACCTCGGCATAGTTTTATGTTCCTCAATTCTTTAATTCTAGCAAAAAGATTTAAATACTGGAATTCTTTAAGAGTTCCATGTGGTCATTGTTAATTTGGTATTTGAATGCCTGAGCGTTCTAAATATAACTCATAGGTTTTCATAAAGTTTACTAAATATTTGTTAATGTTTAAAGTAGGTATGATAGAATTTCAAATTTTTTCTTGGTTATTTTAATTTTAAAGGTTGTAAATCTTACTCTGTATTATTTTCATTTGTGGTGTTTTATTGTTTCTTTTCGTGTTTCATTTTGTTTTAGAGAATAATATAAATTGAAGGAAAAAAGTAAAACTAAATAATTTTCCCATGAGTATTTGTTAAAATTCTGTTTTCTAAAATACCTTATTTTATTTTGTTTTATAGGGATTTGTTCTGGCAGTTACTATCACACGTGAAGCAATTGATGAATTTCGGCGTTTTCAGCGAGATAAAGAAGTGAATTCACAACTTTATAGCAAGCTTACAGTAAGAGGTTAGCAAGACATTTTTAATTGTACTTAGCATTTGTATAATGCAATTATTTTAGAATTAACATAGTAAAACATTCTAATTTCTGTTCTTGAAAATAGCTGTATATGATAATATGCTATCCAATTTTCTTACATTACCTAATACATGCAATTCTGGGGTAGATATTTATTCATTTTCTAGATACTTGGATGTGTGTGTATGATGTATATGTATGTGTTTATATTTTTATATGTACATACAAATGTGTGCATAAATACATATGCATACACTACAATTATATAATGTGCTCTATTGCAATACTTAGACACATGTGAAAACATATATATATACACACACTTTCTGTGATGTATAGTATCACTTCATCTAAAATCTGTCTTAGTATTATATTTTTAACATATTTATAAAGATCAGACATCTACATCATGGTGTTAATTATACTTCAATAAAAGGGCTGTGATGGCCTGAAATAAATGTTGTGATCTAATAAGATAATGGTTACATCCACATTGCTCCTTCCTTTGTTCAGAAGTTTAATGCTTGTTTAGCCTAAATTCTTAAAGAGCTTGTCTATCTGATTTTCCATAATATAAAAAATAAAGCAGTATACTAGGAAACGAATGGACGAAGTTATTACAAATAGTCACTGGGACAATAGAAAAGTGACCATGCATATTTTCTCCTATTCTGTGGGCTATATTTTCACTTTTTTGCTGCATATTTATATATCTGTATTTGTTATTGATGTTGCTTGTACTTTTGGTGTTTTATCAAAGAAACAATTGCCATCCTAAGTTTACAATGACTTCTATTTGTTTTTCTAGGAGGTTTATAGTTTTAGCTCTTACATTTAGGTATATGATTCATTTTCCCATAGTACTTTTTTATATGGTTTGAAATATGGGTCCACATTTTTCTCCACGAATATCAATTCATCAGTACCATTTGTTTAAAAGACTGCTCTTTCTCCATCGAATTGAAGAAGTATTAAAGAGCTTTGATGCTGAACCTTTAATGCTTGAAATGTTGGCATGGTAGATAAAAGATAAGTCTTAGAGAAATAGATAAGCTTTAGTTTTGGAGAAAAGAATTTGTAAATGGTTAAATTAGGTGTAACTTTGCACTGTCTTTTGAAGTGTATAGTATAAATCCTAGTTTCTTTCAAAAATTATTTTACCACAGGTGTTTGAGCTCAGCAGAGATCTGCTTCTTGTGTATTAATCGTACCGTTGACAGGTAGAGTGTTGATGTCAGTACAAAAAGCAGGATAGGCAGCTCCACGTGCCCATCCATCTGTAGAAACAACAACACCAATAACAAGCCAAGTAGTATCAGAACCAACTTTGTCAGAACCCTGTAATGCAGACAGGTTTACAATACCTGTGTGATTGCTGAATCCAGGAAAAGGCAACTCAGCTACTGTAACAGCAAATAGTAGAAAGCTATTTGTTTTTTTCTGTAAGGTTGTTCTTGTCTCAGTCCTTCTTCGGCAAATCTTGAAGATAGCAGTGTCTTTGCAGAGCAGAAATTATTTAAAAGGATGGTGTTTTTCTGTTTAACCAGTCCACAGTGTTGGTCTATTGTTTACCTAAGTTTTGTTTGCCTAACTTAGGGTTAGTTCAGCACAGGAAAGCAGAAAAGCAACAGCAAGCATTTCTCAACTGAATGCCAGGTTATGGAATAACCACAGTAGCTTGGGACAAAAGTTTAGAGTTAAGCCCTCCACCAGAGTATCAAACTTCAGACAAAAAAAGCTGGAGGGAAAAAATATTTTTGGGAAATTTGGGTATTCAGATGTTCATGTGTATCCTGGAGAGTTTGTGAGCCACATGCAGGCTGAGAACTGGAAGAATAATTAGAAAAGACCTGAGAAATTTTTTGGCCTCTGATGAGTCTCTCCATTCAGTACAAGTAGGAAATGAAAGCTAAGGCAGAGTTATAAACATCCTCAGCTGTTTGCTAGGTCCTGAAGGAGGGCTGGAGTACAGAGCCAATCTCAAAATACTGAAGGACCACCCCCCCACAAATCTTTGTCAAAACACTGGCTGAATGCAGTCTAGTGGGATAAATCACAGAAAAGTAGAAGGGAGAAAGGGAACAGGTAATTGTAAGAGACTGAGGAAGAGTTAAAGGGGGGTGGCTATAATGAAATTGTTTGATGTGTATGTATGACAATGCCACAATGAAATCTACTGTTTTGTGTAATTAAATACACTAATAAAAATACTGTAAGTTGGGCTGGGTTTTTAGCTCAGTGGTGCCACTGCCTGCTTCACAAGTGCAAGGTTCCATGCTTCCAGTTATTGATCCGTTGAGTCATTTTCACTTCACTTTTTTTTTGGTACCAGGGATCGAACCTGGGACCCTGCGCCTTCAAGGCAGGCAGCGGAACCACTTAGCTAAGTCCCTGGCCCATTTTCACTTCACTTTGATGCTTGTGGTTCTGATGTGGGCGTGTGTCTGTCCATGAATAATCCATTCCTGCAAGTACCATTCCCTGGTACCAAAAAAACCCACGAAAAAACAAAACAAACAAAACCAAAAGTATAAGTTAATGGAAGAGAGACTTCAGAAACTACACATGACAAAGAATACACACTTTACAAGTATTGCTTTGAAAAATCACTAGACAGACCCATCTACAGCATAAAGAAAACAATAAAATCAACCCAGAAGAGGGAAAAAATATCTTAAATATTGGATTTTCAGAATTACTGAGTTGTCTAGTTTTCCATGAACAATGAAGCATGCAAAAAAAAATACTCATAAGAATTTAATAGAGATCATCTCCAAGGAATCCCAGACTTTGGACTTAACAGACAAGGGATTTAAGTCAACCGTCTTAAATATATCCAAGGAGCTTCCACTATCTTAACTTACACTCAAGAAGCTAAAAGAAGCCATGACAAAATTGCTAAAAGATGTTAGGAGAGTGATATATGATCAAGTAGACAACGTTAGTAAAGGTATAGAAATTGTGAAAAGGACTGAAATGAATTCTGGAGCTGGAAAGTATAGTAAATGACAAAAACCTCATGGAGATTTTAGTGACTGATTTGAGCAGGCTGAAGAAAGAGTGAACTTGAGCCTCTAGATTAGTTGAAATATCCAGATTAAGGAGGAAAACAAATGAAAGAAATGAGCAGCTCTTCACAGACCTGTGGAACAGTACAAAGTGTACCAATGTATAGCATAATAGGAATCCCATGAAGGGCAAAAGAAAAGGAAGGAATATGGCTAGACACATGTGGATGTATTCAGGAAGTTCACTGAGCCCCAAGAAGGACATATAGAAAGATATTTGTACCGAGACCCATAATCAGACTGTTGAAGACCAAGAGAACATACTGAAAGCAGAAAGAGAAAAGTGATTAGTCACATCCAAGTGTATTCAGTAAGATCACAGAGACCATAAAGTTCTGAAGGGAATGAGACTGTGTTTTAAAATGATGAAAGAAAAAAAAGATGTTTGCTAAGAATCATATATATGGTAAAACATTCCCAGATAAAAATAGATGAGTTTAGGGCCAGGGAGTTAGCTCAGTGCTGCCACCTGCCTCGAAAGCCCAAGGTCCTGAGTTTGATCCCCGGTACCGAAAAAAAAAAAAAAAAGGAAATTTTGGGCTGGGGATTTAGCTCAGTGGTGCCGCTGCCTGCCTCGCAAGTGTGCAAGGTCCCGAGTTCGATTCCCATTACCCCCCCCAAAAGATGAGCTTTTTGTACATTTAAGGACATTATCAAAAAAGTGAAAAGGTGACTTAACAGAATGGGAGGAAACATTTATAAATCATATATTTGATAAGGGCCCAGTATACAGAATATGTAAAAACATCTTTAAATTCAACAACAAAAGAAAAACAATTTAAAAATGGGTAAATGAATCTGAGTAGACATTTCTCCAAAGAAGATAGAGAAGAGATGGCTAAGAAGCACATGAAACCATGCTCAAGAGACATCATTAGTTCCTAGGGAAATGTCCACCCAAACCACAGTGAGATGTTACCACATACTACTAGGTTGGCTGTCATTAAAAAATTGTAAATTAAGTGTTGGACAGAATCTAGAGCAATTAGAATCCTGATACTTTGCTTGTGGGACTGTAAAATGTTTCAGTAGCTATGGAAAACATTTTTGTAGGTTCTCACATAGTTAAACATATTTTAAGCAAGGACCCAACTACTTTTGTTCATGTTCACCATAGCATTGTTTACAACAGCCAAAAGTTGATAACAGCCTAGATGTTCTCAGTGGATGAATGAATAAACAAATTGTTATATTCTTCTATTCTTCTGATGGAATGTTATTCAGGCATGAAAGTAATGAAAGTTTGATACATGCTACAACATGGCTGAAGCTTGAATACATTATGCTATGTGAAAGAAGCTAGAATCAAAATGTTACATATTGTATTTCATTGATGTGAAATAGGCTGAATAGGTAAGTTAATGGAGGTAGCATGCAGATTAGTGGTTGCTATGGCTCGCTGAAAAAAAAGAACAGGGAGCAGTTACTTGTAGATGGTGATGAGACTATTTTGGAACTTCATAGCATTGGTTGTACAGCAATGTGGATATAGTAAATGTCACTGAATTATTCACATTAAAATACAGGAATTGTATTTTTATGACGATTCCACCTAAAATGTTGAAGATATATTACATATGCTTTTTATACTCCTGAAGTACTTCAACTTACAGTACTTTAAAAATAGTTTTCAGTAATTTTATTTCAAATATAAATAGAAATCTTTTTTAAAAAATCAATTGTTATTGTTGGTGATCTAGGAAGTAGAAGTTTTACATGTGGATGAGGCTAATGGTAGCTATATCTGACTTTCTTGTGTGTCAGGTAACATCCATAATACTTAACAGTCACTATCGTCCAAGGTAGGTTGGTATCATATCGCCAAGTCACAGAGGAGAAACCTGAGGCTCATGCTAAATAACTTGGATAAATCACAGCAAATGATACAGAAGTGCTGATACTTCACCCTAGGTTATTCTT